TTTATCATGTCATGTTTCACTCTATGTAGAGTTTTATCATGTCATGTTTCACTCTGTGTAGAGCCTTTTCGCTCCGTGTTCGCCTCAGTGCTGAGTTTTATCAAACTGAGCTTCATTCCGTTCACGATAAATCCGTACACTGGGCGAAACGTCTTCCCAGTCACCAGCCCGTTTTTCTAACTCCTGTGCGTTCTACCCCAGGGTGTTTGCTGGTGCCTCCCCAGTTCATTAGCGGTGTCTACCTGGCCCCAGCCATTAACTACACCTGTCGTCCACCTGAATCTGAAGACAGTGTTCATGTGTCAAGGTAAGATACCCATATCTCTCATCTCACAATAACATTGGGAAAAAAACGAGAGAAAAAACGACATAAACGAGGATAGTATCGTTGTACGAGGTCACTTGATCTGTCGTAATAATAACATCATCTTTATTTCTACAAGTACATGTACAAGGTATACAGACCATAGCTGACATCAGTGACATACTACTATATAGAAAGCCGCTTGTTAGGCAGAGCATATCGGGAAAATTAGGTCAATATTGTCCCCAGGATGCGACCCACACCAATCGACTAATACCCAGGTACCTATTTTATTGATGGGTGAACATGGACAACAGGTGTCTCATGGAAACACGTCTTAATATTTTCCAGCCGTACAAGGGGATCGATCCTCGGACCTCAGTGTGTGAGCTGAGAGGGCTAGCAATGGGTTTTGGTCCTTAACACTTCAACATATGATACTGCTACAACAACAACAACAACAACAACAACAACAACAACCACTACTACTACTACTACTACTACTACTACTACTACTACTACTACTACTACTACTACTACTTCTACTACTACTACTACTGCTACTACTACTACTACTACTTCTACTACTACTACTACTACAACCACTGCTACTGTAGATAAATGGTTCAGAGAACCGACAAGTTGATAAATTAGACACATATGCAACACTTGGGTATCTGTATTGAGGAAACGTTTCGCCACACAGTGGCTGCATCAGTCCTGTACAAAGAAAAAAGGTGAAGATCAGAAGGAGTTTGAGGTAATCAGTCCCTCAGCCTTGAGTCAATGTAATCAATTCATCAATCTTGAAAAGAATACAACATATGCCACTTGGCACATGTTGTATTCTTTGCATGACTCTTGGACTGATTACCTCAAAGTCCTTCTGTTCTTCACTTTTCTTCTTGTACATATCCAAGTGTTACACATTTGTCTAATTTATTAACTATTACTACTATTACTACTAATACTACTATTACTAATGCTATACTACTACTACTACTACTACTATTACTACTACTACTACTACTACTACTACTAACACTAATAATAATAACGATGATTACTGTCCAGACCGGAACTCCCGTATCATAATTAAATCCACTGGAAACTTAATAATAATTAATATAATTGACCAGAGTAATTACCTCTTCTCTGGCCATGAGTTAATTAGTGTTCTGCTTCACTGCTACCCGCAAACCACGGCACTGCTTCACCACTACCCACAAATCACTGCAAAGGCCAATATACGAGTCCAGTGAGAGGTGTCTGTCTCTCAGCGTATATACCCTGAGAGTTTAATAACTATTTTAGGCATTAAAGTGTCCTTGACTGGTGGTGAAGTGGTGACATGCAGTCTTATTGACCCTCATGGTGAAGAGGTGACATGCAGTCTTATTGACCCTCATGGTGAAGAGGTGACATGCAGTCTTATTGACCCTCATGGTGAAGAGGTGACATGCAGTCTTATTGACCCTCGATGGTGAAGAGGTGACATGCAGTCTTATTGACCCTCATGGTGAAGAGGTGACATGCAGTCTTATTGACCCTCATGGTGAAGAGGTGACATGCAGTCTTATTGACCCTCATGGTGAAGAGGTGACATGCAGTCTTAATGACCCTCGTGGTGAAGAGGTGACATGCAGTCTTATTGACCCTCGTGGTGAAGAGGTGACATGCAGTCTTATTGACCCTCGTGGTGAAGAGGTGACATGCAGTCTTATTGACCCTCGTGGTGAAGAGGTGACATGCAGTCTTATTGACCCTCATGGTGAAGAGGTGACATGCAGTCTTATTGACCCTCATGGAGTAGATAGTCTCGAAAAGCCATTAAATAGGCATAATCAGATCACTGAATCACTCTTTACTTTCAGAATAATTGTGTTATAAAAACGGAACAAAACAATAATTAGGTTTAAGGATCTGGGAGAGAAGGACTTGAGAAATGTTATGAAATTTGATATATACATGTATATACGTGATATACATGTATATATACGTGATATACCTGTATATATACGTGATATACATGTGTGCAAAATAACCACTGCGAAAAAACAGTGAATTTTCAAGGGCTTTCGTGATTTCTCAAATTATCAAGAAACAGTTCCTTGATTTGAGAAATCACGAAAGCCCTTGGAAATTCACTGTTTTTTTTCAGTGGTTGTTTTGCATATTGTGATATCACCTGTCTACTATGATCATATTGCATATACGTGTATATACATTCATATATACGTTTATATAAGTGTATACAGGAGGTTAGGTTCCGGGCTACTGCTGTAAAGCGAAAGCCGCTGTAAAGTGAATCATAGCCGTTTTTTTCACTTTCAAATGCATTTAAATCCTGATAACGTGTTTACTCTATCATATATTAACTGAGAAATAAAAGTAGGTGCAAAAATGCACATACAGTACACATATTACTTACCTTAAAATATTTTCGTCCTTAGCTTACAGTGAGTGGTAAATATATTTATTGTAGGAAGTCTGAATAAATGAAGAATGTTTATAATTGAAAACTGCTGTATTAGCATAATGCTGTAAAGCGAAGTGCCGTAAAGCGGGGCCTGTCTGTATATACAGGTATATACGCATATATGCACTGTATAGAACTCACTAATAGTCCGATATAAAAATGTTAAAATCTTACTGGGAATAAGAGACAGCAAAAAGGGTCAAGAAGTAAATGCTGTCGCTTTTTTTTTTTTTTTTTGGTACTCTCATTGTACTCTCTTGGGTTCTTGTCAGTGTTACACGAGAGTTTCTTCCCAGCTCTCAAACACTCTCATCTTCCTCTTTTTCTCGCCATTCACAGTCTTCTTGAAGCAATCCGTTGCTGAGCTGCCAGCTAAATGTAACCAACAATATATGTAATGATCAGCTTCCTTGGAACCCAAAAACATCTCTCTCTCTCTCTCTCTCTCTCTCTCTCTACACACACGTGTCCAAGAATGATTGCATAATTAATATACTTCGCCTTCTTCTTCTTCTAGTATTATTATTATTATTATTATTATTATTATTATTATTATTATTATTATTATTTTTATTATTATTATTATTTGAAGCACTGAACGCTTATGGGTTATCCAAACTGTACTCACCCACTTGTACTCATCTACAGAGACTCATGCTACTACTCAATCAACAAATCGTCTTTGGTGGGTGTGGAGGAGGAGGAGCCTTGTACTGAGTGGGACTTTGACACCTCTGTCTTCAGCACCACTCTCACCTCTGAGGTACAGTGTGCAGTCTGACTCACCTCGCGTACCTGTACCTCAAACTGAGCAAAGTTAATTATTAATCTCTCATAGTGTGTCTCACAGTGTGTCTCCCATAGTGTGTCTCTCCCACAGTGTATGTCTCCTACAGTGTGTGTCTCCCACAGTGTGTGTCTCCCACAGTGTGTCTCACACAGTGTGTCTCCCACAGTGTGTGTCTCCCACAGTGTGTGCTTCCCACAGTGTGTGTCTCCCACAGTGTGTCTCCCACAGTGTATGTCTCCCACAGTGTGTCTCCCACAGTGTGTGTCTCCCACAGTGTGTCTCACACAGTGTGTCTCCCACAGTGGTTGTGTTCCCCACAGTGTGTGCTTCCCACAGTGTCTCCCACAGTGTGTCTCCCACAGTGTGTGTCTCCCACAGTGTATGTCTCCCACAGTGTGTCTCCCACAGTGTGTCTCCCACAATGTGTCTCCCACAGTGTATGTCTTCCACAGTGTATGTCTACCACAGTGTGTGTCTCCCACAGTGTGTCTTCCACAGTGTATGTCTCCCACAGTATGTCTCCCACAGTGTGTGTCTCCCACAATGTGTCTCCCACAATGAGTCTCCCACAGTGTGTGTCTCCCACAGTGTGTGTCTCCCACAGTGTGTCTCCCACAGTCTCCCACAGTGTCTCCCATAGTGTGTCTCCCACAGTGTGTCTCCCACAATGTGTCTTCCACAGTGTGTGTCTCCCACAGTGTGTGTCTCCCATAGTGTGTCTCCCACAGTGTGTCTCCAAAAGTGTGTCTCCCACAATGTCTCCCACAGTGTGTGTCTCCCAAGTGTGTGTCTCCCACAGTGTGTCTTCCACAGTGAGTCTCTCACAGTGTGTGTCTCCCATAGTGTGTCTACCAAAGTTTGTGTCTCCCATAATGTGTGCTTCCCACAGTGTGTCTCCCACAGTGTGTCTCTCACAGTGTGTGTCTCCCACAGTATGTGTTTCCCAAAGTGTGTTTCCCACCTGTACTCACCTAATTGTGGTTGAAGGGGTCGAGACTCAGCTCCTGGCCCCGCCTCTTCACTGGGTGCTACTAGGTCCTCTCCCTGCTCCATGAGCTTTATCATACCTCATCTTAAAGCTATGTATGGTTCCTGCCTCCACTACCTCACCTGCTAGGCTATTCCACTTCCTGACAACTCTATGACTGAAGAAATACTTCCTAACATCCTTTTGACTCATCTGGGTCTTCGACTTCCAATTGTGACCCCTAGCTTCTGTGTCCCCTCTCTGGAACATCCTGTCTCTGTTCACCTTGTCTATTCCACGCAGTATTTTGTATGTCGTTATCATATCTCCCCTAACCCTCCTGTCCTCCAGTGTCGTCAGGCCGATTTCCCTTAACCTTTCTTCATAGGACATTCCCCTGAGCTCTGGAACTAACCTTGTCGCAAATCTTTGCACTTTCTCTAGTTTCTTGACGTGCTTGATCAAGTGCAGGTTCCAAACAGGTGCTGCATACTCCAGTATGGGCCTGACGTACACGGTGTACAGTGTCTTGAATGATTCCTTACTAAGGTATCGGAACGCTGTTCTCAGGTTTGCCAGGCGCCCATATGCTGCAGCAGTTATCTGGTTGATGTGTGCTCCGGAGACGTGCTTGGTGTTATGGTCACCCCAAGATCTTTCTCCTTGAGCGATGGTTTCGATGGTTCTGACCAGAGCTTTGGTAAGATGGGAGGGAGGAAGAAGGATGGGTAAGGATGGAATGTAGGAAAGGTTGGGGAGGGAGGTGGGGTAGGTGGGGTTATAAAAGGGAAGTGGCCTATCCACTTTGGTATAATTTGAATATGCGTGTGTGCATATTAAATAATTTGTAAAGAGGTTGGTTTTATGAGTGGGGTATACCTCCTACCCATCAGTTGTGCACTGCTGTACTGTTGTTATACCTGTGCGTCAATGAATTGGTAGGATGCATACTGCTTACAATTGATTTTTTTTTGTCGCAAGAGGTTGGTCAGAAGGGCGCAGCTCCTTGAGCGAGGTTTGCAGTCTTTGGCCACCTAGGCTATAGTGTGTCCTTCCCACAGTGTGTGTCTCCAACAGTGTGTTTCCCACAGTGTGTGCTTCCCACAGAGTGTCTCCCACAGTGTGTCTCCCACAGAGTGTCTCCCACAGTGTGTGTCTCCCACAGTGTGTGTCTCCCACAGTGTGTGTCTCCCACAATGTGTGTCTCCCACAGTGTGTGTCTCCCACAGTGTGTGTCTACCACAGTGTGTGTCTCCCACAGTGTGTGCTTCCCACAGTGTCTCACAGTGTGTCTCCCACAGTATCTCCCACAGTATGTGCTTCCCACAGTGTGTGTCTCCCACAGTGTGTGTCTCCCACAGTGTGTGTCTCCCACAGTGTGTGTCTCCCACAGTGTCTCCCACACCTGCTGCCCCTGTTCACCTAGAAATAAATAGGTACCTGGGTGCTAGTAGACTGTAATCATTGTTTTGTGTCCCTTAAATTCCATATGTTGTCTTTGTCCTGATTACAGAGGAAAGTACATTAGAAAGTCTTAATTTTGATTACAGAGGAAAGCACATTAGAAAGTCTTAATTTTGATTACAGAGGAAAGTACATTAGAAAGTCTTAATTTTGATTACAGAGGAAAGTACATTAGAAAGTCTTAATCTTGATTACAGACGAAAGTAGTTAACAAAAGTCTTAATTACAGAGGAAAGTAGTCTAGAAAGTCTTAATTACAGAGAAAATTAGTCTAGAAAGTCTTAATTACAGAGGAAAGTAGTCTAGAAAGTCTTAATTACAGAAGAAAGTAGTTTATAAAGTCTTAATTACAGAGGAAAGTAGTCTAGAAAGTCTTAATTACAGAAGAAAGTAGTTTAGAAAGTCTTAATTACAGAGGAAAGTAGTCTAGAAAGTCTTAATTACAGAGGAAAGTAGTCTAGAAAGTCTTAATTACAGAGAAAATTAGTCTAGAAAGTCTTAATTACAGAGGAAAGTAGTCTAGAAAGTCTTAATTACAGAGGAAAGTACATTAGTAGACACACAGATATTAGTATCTGAATAGATACTTAGTATCTTTTTTGCCTGTTTGAAGTGAGCGACGGCAGAGATAAAAGCACTTGGTTGCTTGTTTCTCTAAGAGATAGAGAGATAACTCTCATTGGCCGCAGATAACTGTCCCTAGATAAATAGATAGATAGAGAGAGAGAGAGACAGAGAGACAGAGAGAGAGAGAGAGAGAGAGAGAGAGAGAGAGAGAGAGAGAGAGAGAGAGAGAGAGAGAGAGAGAGAGAGAGAGAGAGACAGAGAGAGAGATAATAAATTATGCACTACAGGCAAGTGTCTCCAACAAGAGTGAAACGTATGAACAGTAAAGAACAAGCCAGGTGTTACACATATGTTCTTTATGAACATGCCGTCACTGTTCACCACTAGGAACATGAACACTGGGGATACCATCTTTGGACAGGTCAAGCAGCCATCTTCCAGCCTTCTGGCTATTATATTCACTAAGTACAATCACCAAGGTCAACACTGTCGTTTTGCTTAATAAATCAACATTGTACTAACATGTTGCTAATTGTTTTTTGTATTTTTTTTTTCATGTTGATTTGCGGAAAGAGAATTGAGTAAATTCTTAAAACCATTGAAAAAAAAGATGGAATATTTTGATAAACAGATTATTATTATTGTTATTATTATTATTATTATTATTATTATTATTATTATTATTATATTCACTATGCGGCCAGCAAAACTCGACTAACGCCCAGGTACCTATTTACTACTAGGTGAAACAGTAATAGGTGTAAGGGGGTTAGCCCATACGTCTTACTCTGCCTAGGATGCTACTCTCAACAGATGACTAACGGTCAGGTACCTATTCACAACTAGTTAGGTAGGTAGGTAGTAGATTCGCCTGTATAATCGCCCGGCCCGGGGCTTTTCCAAAAGGTGGCACGGCCTTGGCTCCCTGTCGTGGGAGTGTCTCAGACCAATGTCTGCCATGGGAGGAGGTACAAGTACCTCTTCGTCTTCTGGGACCAGCTGTCCCCAGGCCTAGGCCCATTCCCCGCCCCCACGGGGCTCGGAGGGAGAAGCTAGGCACCCCGCCCACACTGGGCTCGAAGAGTGTGGCAGCTGGATAGCAGCAAACAATGTCAGAAGGTGCAAATGCAGCAAGCACTACAGGATCCTTATGGAGCCACACCCCAGCTTTGGACATTAAGCCCGAGCACAGGGAAGCTCAAAAATGCCTCTTGCTGTGTGTGTTGTTGCTGCTGCTACTTCATTTGTCCACTGCATTCTCTCCGCAACTAGGTGAAAAGGGGAATTAGGTTAAAGTATACGTACACGGGGATCGAGCCCAGTAGTCTTTGGTTGAGTGCCTAACCACTGGGCTACACTTGTGTCAAATACAGGTTAGCAGCATCCCCCAGCGAAAACTTGATCTACTGACACATGACAAAGGGAATAACTAGGGTTACCGTGGAGGGAGATAGGGTAAACCTCTTACACTTTCTACCCATGTTACCTAGCAATAAATAGGTACCTGAGTGTTAGTGGGTGGCATCCTGGGCAATGAGAAACATAAGCAACTCTCCTTACACCTGTTGTCCTTTTAATTCACCTAGTTCCAAATTGGTATTTGGGTGTTAGTCGACTGTTGTGGGTTGCATCCAGGGGTAAGGATGCTAGTATACTTTACGAGTAGCAGTCTGTAAATGAACTGAGGCAAGATAACAACTCTTAGCTTGTAGAGTGAACTACCTTTTATGACCGATGTCGTCCAGGTTAAGGCTTATTTTGTATATTAAAAGTAACCATGCTTTGTGTTGGTCAGTTCTCACTGGTGTGTGGACGGGAGCACCTCAGAGCCACCTACCAAGGAGTCTACATGCTAGGCACCTTCCTCAGCCCCTTGCTAGGTGGCTACCTAGCTGACAGGTAAAGTGAACTTACCTATATGTAGTTGCATCGGGCGAGTCACAGCTGTGTGTGTGTGTGTACTCACCTATTTGTGGATGCAGGGGTCGAGTATTAGCTCCTGGCCCCGCCTCTTCACCGGTTGCTACTGGGTCCTCTCTCTCCCTGCTCCATGAGCTTTATCAAACCTCGTCTTAAAACTATGCTGGTGTCCCCATCTGGTCTGTCCCCCCAGAGGCCTTCCTGTCTCCACTGTAAATACTTCCTTAAATTTCATATTGAGCTCCTCACATACTTCTCGATCGCTTCTTGTGAGTTCCCCACCTTCTTTCCTCAGCCTTATCACCTGGTCTTTCACTGTTGTCTTCCTCCTAATGAGGCTATACAGCAGTTTCGGGTCAGACTTGACTTTCGATGCTATGTCGTTTTCGTACTGTCGCTGGGTCTCCCTCCTTATCTGTGCATACTCGTTTCTGGCTCTTCTACTAATCTCCTTATTTTCCTGGGTCCTTTGCCTCCTGTACCTTTTCCATTCTCTGTTGCACTTAGTTTTTGCCTCCCTACACCTTCGGGTAAACCAAGGACTCGCTTTGGTCCTCCTATTATTTCTATTTCCAATGGGAACAAACCTTTCCTCTGCCTCCTTGCACTTTGTTGCTACTTATTCCATCATCTCGTTTACTGATTTTCCTACCAGTTCTCTGTCCCACTGAACTTCCTGCAGGAAGTTCCTCATACCTGTGTAGTCCCCCCTTTTATAGTTTGGCTTTTCCCATTCAATTCCAGTTACCTTCCCCACTTGTAACTCTACTTCCTTAAATCTCATATTATGTGTGTACTCACCTAATTGTGGTTGCAGGGGTCGAGACTCAGCTCCTGTACTCACCTAGTTGTACTCACCTAGTTGAGGTTGCAGGGGTCGAGTCCAAGCTCCTGGCCTCGCCTCTTCACTGGTCGCTACTAGGTCACTCTCCCTGAACCATGAGCTTTATCGTACCTCTGCTTAAAGCTATGTATGGATCCTGCCTCCACTACATCGCTTCCCAAACTATTCCACTTCCTGACTACTCTGTGGCTGAAGAAATACTTCCTAACATCCCTTTGATTCATCTGTGTCTTCAACTTCCAACTGTGTCCCCGTGTTGCTGTGTCCAGTCTCTGGAACATCCTGTCTTTGTCCACCTTGTCAATTCCTCTCAGTATTTTGTAAGTCGTTATCATGTCTCCCCTATCTCTCCTGTCCTCCAGTGTCGTCAGGTTGATTTCCCTTAACCTCTCCTCATAGGACATACCTCTTAACTCTGGGACTAGTCTTGTTGCAAACCTTTGCACTTTCTCTAGTTTCTTTACGTGCTTGGCTAGGTGTGGGTTCCAAACTGGTGCCGCATACTCCAATATGGGCCTAACGTACACGGTGTACAGGGTCCTGAATGATTCCTTATTAATATGTCGGAATGCTGTTCTGAGGTTTGCTAGGCGCCCATATGCTGCAGCAGTTATTTGGTTGATGTGCGCTTCAGGAGATGTGCCTGGTGTTATACTTACCCCAAGATCTTTTTCCTTGAGTGAGGTTTGTAGTCTCTGGCCCCCTAGACTGTACTCCGTCTGCGGTCTTCTTTGTTCTTCCCCAATCTTCATGACTTTGCACTTGGTGGGATTGAACTCCAGGAGCCAATTGCTGGACCAGGTCTGCAGCCTGTCCAGATCCCTTTGTAGTTCTGCCTGGTCTTCGATCGAGTGAATTCTTCTCATCAACTTCACGTCATCTGCAAACAGGGACACCTCAGAGTCTATTCCTTCCGTCATGTCGTTCACAAATACCAGAAACAGCACTGGTCCTAGGACTGACCCCTGTGGGACCCCGCTGGTCACAGGTGCCCACTCTGACACCTCGCCACGTACCATGACTCGCTGCTGTCTTCCTGACAAGTATTCCCTGATCCATTGCAGTGCCTTCCCTGTTATCCCTGCTTGGTCCTCCAGTTTTTGCACCAATCTCTTGTGTGGAACTGTGTCAAACGCCTTCTTGCAGCCCAAGAAAATGCAATCCACCCACCCCTATCTCTCTTGTCTTACTGCTGTCACCATGTCAGTAGGTTTGTGACACAGGATTTCCCGTCCTGAAACCATGTTGGCTGCTGTTGATGAGATCGTTCCTTTCTAGGTGTTCCACCACTCTTCTCCTGATAATCTTCTCCATGATTTTGCATACTATACATGTCAGTGACACTGGTCTGTAGTTTAATGCTTCATGTCTGTCTCCTTTTTTAAAGATTGGGACTACATTTGCTGTCTTCCATGCCTCAGGCAATCTCCCTGTTTCGATAGATGTATTGAATATTGTTGTTAGGGGTACACATAGTGCCTCTGCTTCCTCTCTCAATACCCATGGGGAGATGTTATCTGGCCCCATTGCCTTTGAGGTATCTAGCTCACTCAGAAGCCTCTTTACTTCTTCCTCGGTTGTGTGCACTGTGTCCAGCACATGGTGGTGTGCCCCACCTCTCCGTCTTTCTGGAGCCCCTTCTGTCTCCTCTGTGAACACTTCTTTGAATCTCTTGTTGAGTTCCTCACATACTTCATGGTCATTTCTTGTTGTCTCTCCTCCTTCCTTCCTTAGCCTGATTACCTGGTCCTTGACTGTTGTTTTCCTCCTGATGTGGCTGTACAACAGTTTCGGGTCAGATTTGGCTTTTGCTGCTATGTCGTTTTCATATTGTCTTTGGGCCTCCCTTCTTATCTGTGCATATTCGTTTCTGGCTTTACGACTGCTTTCCTTATTCTCCTGGGTCCTTTGCCTTCTATATTTCTTCCATTCCCTAGCACACTTGGTTTTTGCCTCCCTGCACCTTTGGGTAAACCATGGGCTCATCCTGGCTTTTTCATTACTCCTGTTACCCTTGGGTACAAACCTCTCCTCAGCCTCCTTGCATTTTGTTGCTACATATTCCATCATCTCATTAACTGGCTTCCCTGCCAGTTCTCTGTCCCACTGAACCCCGTTCAGGAAGTTCCTCATTCCTGTGTAGTCCCCTTTCTTGTAGTTTGGCTTCATTCGTCCTGGCCTTCCTGCTTCTCCCTCCACTTGTAGCTCTACTGTGTATTCGAAGCTTAAAACCACATGGTCACTGGCCTCAAGGGGTCTTTCATATGTGATGTCCTCAATATCTGCACTACTCAAGGTGAATACCAAGTCTAGCCTTGCTGGTTCATCCTCTCCTCTCTCTCTTGTAGTGTCCCTTACGTGTTGGCACATGAAGTTTTCCAGTACCACCTCCATCATCTTAGCCCTCCTGTATCTTGGCCCCCATGTGGGTCCAAGTTCTCCCAATCGATCTCCTTGTGGTTAAAGTCACCCATGATCAGGAGCTTTGCCCTGCATGCATGAGCTCTTCTGGCCACTCTAGCCAGTGTGTCAACCATCGCTCTATTGCTCTCGTCGTACTCTTGCCTTGGCCTCCTGCTGTTCTGCGGTGGGTTATACATCACTGCTATTACCACCTTGGGACCTCCAGAGTGAAGCATTCCCGCTATGTAATCACTTTCTTCTCCGCTGTCTCCTCTCTCCAGCTCATCAAAATTCCAGCGATTTTTGATCAGCAATGCCACTCCTCCACCCCCCCTGTTCCCTCTGTCTTTCCTCAGGATTTGGTATCCCGTTGGAAAGATGGCATCTGTTATCATACCTGTAAGCTTGGTTTCTGTGAGAGCTATGATGTCCGGTGATGCTTCTTTGACTCTTTCATGCCACTCCTCCCACTTATTTGTTATTCCATCAGCGTTTGTGTACCATACCTTCAGTTTCCTTTCGAACACTGTGGTTTGGGGGGCCTGTGAGGGTGGGAGACCTGGTGGCATACTGTGGGATTCTATAGCTCGGTGTTGGGTGGAGGCTGTGGGTATGGATTGTAGTGTGTGTTGGGATGGTGTGATAGGTTGTATGGTTCTGAGAATAGTTGTGTGTGTGCTTGCCCTTGCTGTTCTGTTCTGCTCTGACTGACCTCTGCTGGTTCCATCCTTGTCTCTTTTCCTAGCTCCTTTCGCTTTTTTGTCCTCTCCGTCAGCTGCTGTCGTTCTGATTTTGTTCTGTCTCTGTCTAGGAACACCCTCTTGTACTCTTCCGAGTATTTCAATCGTGGTTTCTCTTGGAGGATCCTGTTCCGCATTGTTTCCGTCCTGAGAATCAGCTTGATTGGTCGGTCTCTCCCCTTCGAGTACCCCCCTATTCTCTGAAAATTTACAATCTCGTCTATCTCTTCACCTATTTCCGTGATGATTTTCTCAATCTCCTTTCTTTCTTCCTGCTGTCTTTCAGTGTGTGTCCTTTCCTCTCTCTCCTGAAGCCCATGGATAAACACTGATTTTGCCCTTTCCTCCTCCCATTGCCTCACCTTCTGTGACTCTGGATCCTGCCTGTATGTGGTCAGTTTCTCCCTTGTTTTTTCCAGTGGCTCTTGATAGCATGGTTGTGCCTCAGCATTCGACCTATCGCCCTCTCCATCTGCAACCAGCTGTTCTTCCCTTTCTCTCCTTGGTCCTCCTTGGAAGGCTGATATGACCTTAGCATAATTCATAATTCTTTCCTTCCTGTTCGGCCTCGCAGCTTCATATGCTGTGTCTTCTCTGGTCACTGCCCCTGTAACTCGCTTCAGCCTATTTATCTCATCTTCTAGGACCCTTATCTTGGCTACTGCAGTTTCGACTTGTGCCTCCCAATTCTTTGTCTCCTTCTCCAACCTCTTTTCCAATTTCACAGAGAGCTCTTTCTCCATTTTTTCAGAAAGCTCTCCTAATTTTCTCTCCCACTCTTGTTCCATCCTTTTCCACTGCTCCTCCATCCACTCCTCCCTACCAGAACCATTCTCATCTGATCCTTGGTTCCTGCGAGTCCCCACCATTTTTTTTTGTGTGTGTGTATGTGTGTGTGTGTGTATGTGTGTGTGTGTGTGTGTATATATATATATATATGTGTGTGTGTGTGTGTGTGTGTGTGTGTGTGTGTGTGTGTGTGTGTGTGTGTGTGTGTGTGTGTGTGTGTGTGTGTTGTGTGTGTGTGTGCCTGTGTGTGTGTGTGTATGTGATACTGCAATCTTTATATATGTAATTCAATCGTCTTTCCAATATTTTGATAAATTCTAAATTTAGATTCAGCATTTAAATTTAGAATTAAAAATGAATTATAAATCTCTCTCTCTCTCTCTCTCTCTCTCTCTCTCTCTCTCTCTCTCTCTCTCTCTCTCTCTCTCTCTCTCTCTCTCTCTCTCTCTCTCTCTCTCAGGTACGGACGGTGGAAGGTCGTGATGGCTACACAAGTCGTGACAGTCATCACAGCCATAAGTCAATGTTTCATACACAGCTTCATGTTCATCCTCGTGCTACGGTTCTTCATGGGCTCCGTCAACCTACTCACTCTCTTCATCTTCGGTGAGTATTTCCACCGTCATCTTCGGTGAGTATCTTCACCGTCATCTTCGGTGAGTATCTTCACCGTCATCTTCGGTGAGTATTTCCACCGTCATCTTCGGTGAGTATCTTCACCGTCATCTTCGGTGAGTATTTCCACCGTCATCTTCGGTGAGTATCTTCACCGTCATCTTCGGTGAGCTTTCAATAATATGCGTGTACACTTACAGCTTCAGTGAGTACGCAACATAATAATAATAATAATAATTTTTCTTACGAATACACTATGTATAAAGAAAACTTTAAAGACGACCCTCAGCTGATTATAAAGCACTTCATAAAGCTTTGCTTTAGAGCAGCTTAAGAGCATGAAAGTAGAGCTTTTTTCTTTACGTATTGGCTTTTTATCATACTTTTTTCCAGTTGAATTAATATATATATATATATATATATATTTATATATAAAATATATATATATATATATATATATATATATATATATATATCTGGCAGCTCTGGAGGTATGTGAGCCCAAGCACAGAGCTTTAGTGGGTATCCTGACTGGGCTGCCCTGGGCGCTGGGCACCATGCTCTGGGGTGCCCTGGCTTACTGTATTCGTGACTGGAGGTGGTTACAGGCTGCTGTGTCCTTCCCGATCCTCCTCATCCTTATTCCTATTTAGTGAGTAACACTGTTCTTCTGCATGTATCTCTGTATATGTACGTGTATGGAAGTGTGTGTGTGTGTGTGTGTGTGTGTGTGTGTGTGTGTGTGTGTGTGTGTGTGTGTGGAAGTGTGTGTGTGGAATTGTGTGTGGAAGTGTGTGTGTGGAAGTGTGTGTGTGGAAGTGTGTGTGTGGAAGTGTGTGTGGAAGGTGTGTAGGTGTGGGGAAGTGTGTGGGTGGAAGTGTGTGTGGAAGTATGTGGGTGTAAGTGTGTGGAAGTGTGTGTGTGGAAGTGTGTGTAAGTGTGTGTGTGGAAGTGTGTGTGTGGAAGTGTGTGTGTGGAAGTGTGTGGGTGGAAGTGTGTGGAAGTGTGTGTGTGGAAGTGTGTGGAAGTGTGTGTGTGGAAGTGTGTGTGTGGAAGTGTGTGTGGATGTGTGTGTGTGGTATCCCTGATCCCTTATTACCTAATATTTTGTGATCAGATTACCCAGAAACGTGCTTTGTAGTTAGTTTAATATCTTTGTCGAATAGCCCCTTTTGTGAGGGGGCTCTCCCCCCCCTTCCCCTAAATGTAGGGACCCATTCTGTGTGGCAGCTTCCTGACTAGTCCCCTGGTTTTGATCTATATCGACATTGCTCACTATTATGTTATAATTCATTTGAAGGAGTACTCGATCCCCCATGTACTAAGCATGAGTCAGACACGCTACCTACTAGTACCATCGTTCCTGTCTTGCAGACAGCTTCCTGCACGAGTCTCAACGTACTCACTTTCTTGTCTTGCACACAGCTTCCTGGACGAGTCTCCACGCTGGCTCATCGTGAACGGACATCACGACAAGGCCTTGCTGGTGCTGCAGAGAGCTTCTCGCTGGAACAAGGCAACACTACCTCCTGAAGAGGATCTTAGAGCTCTCATGAGGAACGTACAAGAAGAGGTAGGTTCTCTGAGTATCTCTGAGAGTGACTACTAAGGACTGATAATCATTATATTAATAAAAGCAGGTGGTAAACCCAGCCAGGCTAGTGATGATGACCATGGTGTGTCACAATGCATCTCGTGCCCTCGCTCTAACATTATAACTATTCTTACAATAACATTATAATCTATAAGACTTCGATCGTTGTGTTAACAGTCGTCGATGCCGGTCAAGGTGAAGGAGGCAGCCCATGAAGGTCTTGAGGTGACCAAGAAGCACTGCAGATCCCCTAGACTACCGGGTTTGATTAGGTGAGGCAGTGTGTTTTCTTATCTCATTCTCAGAGGCTTCAATCCTTGCTAGGGTGCTGAAGAGGCTCCAGTAATAACTACTACTACTACTACTACTAATAATAATAATAATAATAATATAATCAAGGGGGAAGCGCTAAACCATTAATAATATATATATATATATATATATATATATATATATATATATATATATATATATATATATATATATATATATATATATATATATATATATATATATATATATATATCCAACAGCACTCGTGCCATCACTGTGGTCACTGTAGTGGTATGTCTAGACTACTTCGCTGTATCACTGGTGTTCGACGGGCTTAACCTGAGCGGTGACAACTACAGTGCCGACCCCTTCCTCTACATCGTGCTGGGAGGGCTGATGGAGGTGCCAGGGTATACCCTCACTGCCCCAGCAATAGACCGCTGGGGCAGGAGGATGCCCACTGCCCTGAGTTATATCCTCTGTGGCATCCTTCTCCTTGCTCTGGCTTTTATACCTCCTGGTGAGTCTAGCTGATAAATTTTAGTTACAATAGGCGATGAAATAAACAAGAAAGTTATGAGAATAGGCTACACTGGATTTTTTTAAGTTATCTACTTAAGACCATTGTAAAAGGATTTGTTTGTTGTTTAGCCGAAGGCTAAATGAAAGCTTACTTAACCGTAGGTTATTAAAACTCCGGGATAACTAACCGGGAGAGTCCTCTTCTTTCTTCTTCATATTCCTCCTCTTCCTCATCCTCATCTTTATCTCTTTCTTCTTCATCTTCCTCTTCCTCACCATCTTTTTCTTTTTTCTTCTTCTTCTTCAAGCTAAGATTACAACATTGCCCGTGAAGGTGGACTGACACAAAGTGTTGTTGGTTCAGACATGTCGTGGTTGGTGATGACGCTGGCCATGGCTGGCAAGGTGTGTATCAGTGGAGCTTTCCAGCTCATCTACGTCTACTCCTCGGAGCTCTTCCCTACAGAGGTCCGACTCCAGGGCATCGGAGCCGCCTCCGTCCTCGCCCAGCTAGCCTCCACCATCCTGCCTTACATCACCACCTTCCTGGTCAGTTCTGCACACACACACACACACACACACACACACACACACACACACACACACACACACGTACAGTCCACTGTTCTTTTCGTCATTATTATTATTATAGTGTTTCTACAAGAGAAGACCTTTAAGCTGGTTAAGGGCTGTTATCTAAGGCACTGAAGCCACCCTCGCCTTCCATGCTCCAGACCTTGTTACCTCCCATTTCTCAGGCGTTATTTGACTTCTTTATGAATTTATCATTTTCTCGTGGATATAAGGAAATAATCTTTATCTCCCCCTGCCAGGGACCGCTGGTACCATGGGCGCCGTCAGTAATATTCGCTGGGGTGTCACTGGCGTCTGGTGTCATTACCTTGGTGTTGCACGAGACAGCAGGCAAGGCGCTACCTGACACCATCACAGACCTTACGCACATCCGCTCACTCAAGAACCAGGAGTAAGTTCTCTCCTCGGCCGCTTAGGCAGCACAGTCTTCCCTCGCTGCCTTGTTAAATAACACTAAAGACGCTTTCCATGTAAAATAACAATAAGGGCACTTCCTAAATTAAAGAGCTTTGTGGTAATTTTCTTGTTAAGTGCCTATGAGAAGTTAGTTTAATATTTTTATTATGCACCCCATACCCATCCTGTGGGTGGTAGTCAAAGGATTACAGAGGTACATAATGGGTCCAGGGACTGGGGCCCAAAGTTTTGATAGTTGAACAAGGTACAAAGGTAATGAACTCCAGTAAGATCTGGTCACAATCATGACCAAGTTACAAAGGTAATGAATCATCTACACGTCTATACATGCTTACAATTATGAACAAATTACAAAATAATAAGCAATTCACACGTCCACACTTTTGTCACAACTGTAATGAGTTATTAGGGCATATATTAATTGGGTCACATACACACGAACACACACTTATTTACTTTTTATCTTATGAATTTTCCAGGCCAAATAACAGTCCCAAATTTTGGAACTTTTACATTTTTCTTCGGTATTTCTAAGAATAGAGGTATGACTTCGTTGTAACTTTCCTATTACTTCAGCTCAGAAAATAGAAAATATTGTAGTTTATACCTCTTTACTAATGATAGTTATCCCTTTCATTTTCAGAGAGAATGTTGATCCTTCAGAAATAGAGAAAATTGCAACTTAAAGGCGGGTGTGTTAAGGGTTAACTCAACTAAATTAAAATATCATTGTGTTCTGTCGCACCCCACGAGAGGAGGCTCGGGATCATTGGATTTTCCATCTGCAGCCAGTAAAGGCCAGAATGGTAAAACATTTAGACCCAAACAAAAAGATTTGTGCCAGTGTACACTTTGCATTCAGTTAAGAATGCATAGTAATGTGTATAATTTGAGACCGACGAAAATTACCATGTATTATCCTCGTACTTTCAGTAATGATACTATTCACCATATTTTCGTAAATAAAGAATTTCACTGCAAATTTATATTATTTGCCTATTCAAGTAAAGCGAAAACTTACTTTCAGTGCAATTTCAAGTATGCAAGTTCTCATTAATGTTAAGATAAGAAATAAGATTTTGTTCGGATTTTTAACCCGTTAGGGTTAGCCACCCAGGATAACCCAAGAAAGTCAGTGCGTCATCGAGGACTGTCTAACTTATTTCCATTGTGGTCCTTATATCTTGTCCCCCAGGATATGACCCGTACCAGTCGACTAACACCCAGGTGTCTACCTATTTGCTTGTTAGGTGAACATGACAGCAAGTGTAAGGAAATACGCCCATTGTTTCTACACTTGCCGGGGATCGAACCACGTGCACTCAGTGCGTGAGGTGAGAGTATTGCCTACCAGGTCACGGGACACAAATTAAAATTTTTAACATTGTTTTATATGTTAATTTAGAATAATAATAATAATAATAATAATAATAATAATAATAATAATAATAATAATAATAATAATAATAATAATAATAATAATAATAATAATAATACCAGGAGTATACCTGGAGAGGGTTTCGGGGGTCAATGCCCCGGCGGCCTGGTCTGTGACCAGACCTCATGGTGGACCAGGGCCTGCTCAATCAGGCTGCTACTGTTGTCCGCACGCAACCCGACTTACGAACCACAACCCGGGTGATCAGGTACTGACTTTAGGTGCCTGTCCAAAGCCTTCTTGAAGACAGCCAGGGGTCTATTAGTAATCCCCCTTATGTATGCTGGGAGGCAGATGAACAGGTTTGGGCCCTTGACACTTATTGTGTTGTCTCTTATCGTGCTAGTGACACCCCTGCTTTTCATTGGGAGGATGTTGCATCGTCTGCCAAGTCTTTTGCTTTCATAGGGAGTGATTTCCGTGTGTAAATTTGGTACTAATTCCTCTAGGATTTTCCAAGTGTATATAATCATGTATCTCTTCCGCCTGCGTTCCAGGGAGTGCAGGTCGAGGAACTTCAAACGTTCCCAGTAATTTAGGCGTTTATTCCAACATATGTGTGCCGTGAAGGTTCTCTGTACCTTTCCTAGGTCAGCAATTTCACCTGCCTTGGAAGGTGCTGTTAACATGCAGCAATATTCCAGCCTAGATAGAACCAGCGAACTCAATAGTGTCATCATGGGCTTGGCATCCCTAGTTTTGAAGGTTCTCATTATCCATCCTGCCATTTTTCTAGCAAATGAAATTGATACAACCTTGTGGTCTTTGAAAGTTAGATCCTCTGATATTATCACTCCCAGGTCTTTTACATCAGTTTTTTGCTCTATTGTGTGGCTAGAATTTGCTTTATACTCCTATATAGTTTTGATTTCCTCACGTTTTCCATATCGGAGTAATTGAAAATTTTCATCATTGAACTCCATATTGTTTTTTTTTTGTGGCCCATTTAAAGATTTGGTTGATGTCCGCCTGGAGTCTTGCAGTGTCTTCAATGGAGGACACTGTCATGCAAATTCGGGTGTCAAACAACTTTTTCCTCATTGTTTCGTTTATCAGAGGACTCGCTGGACTCATTTTCGACTATTGACCAGTTCTTGGGCGCTGTCACGTTACCTGTTCTCCTTTCCGGAAACCCTACTATCAGCGCAGATGCGTTCTTTGACTTTTGATTGAGACGGATTTATTACACCAACTTTATATTTCCTTGTTTCTACATTGTGTTACTCCCCTTAGTCGCCAGCATCTCTCAGCTTTTTGGCGCTAAGATACCAACTGTGTTGAGGATAATATTAGACACATGGGCTTGTCGATCCACTGAGATACCAACTGTGTCCAGAGTTATGTTAGTCCTTTTCCCTGTGCCTGTGCCTGTGCCTGTGCCTGTGCCTGTGCCTGTGCCTGTGCCTGTGCTTGTGCCTGTGCCTCTAGTTGTGATAGATTTCCCAGCTATTCTTCTAGTGTTAATCTCAGTTATCCCAGGTGTGACAGGAATGACAATGTTGGGATGTGTTTGGGCGTTATATATATTATTATTATAATCAAGGGGGAAGCGCTAAACCCGGAGGATTATACAGCGCCTGGGGGGGGGGATGTGGAAGGCATTCAGGCTTAATTCGGGGAACTGGAGCACAGATCCAATTCCCTAAATCAAGAGCCCCTCACCAACATCAAGGAACCTTCCTTGAGGGGGCGTTATATATAAAAATACGGAAACGACCCCATGTACACAAGTCCAACGCGATGTTGAATTATATATTTTTCTAAAATTATATAAATATTTAAGTAAAGCTATGGTTAACAATTTTCTTTACATTCAATTGTCCAATTATCTTTGTTTTATTTCGGTAATACTTTAAAAATCTTCAATCTGAGAAATAATTTGATTTATAACTAATATTGTGTCCACAAAAATGTTGTTGAAAAGGTTCTTTTGAACAATAAATTCCTGTTTTTTGAGACCTTAGAATAAGAAAGTAAGTTTATTCAGGCAGTTACATGAAATTATCATACATAGTATGATAACCCAAAAAAGTCAAACAAAATGGCTTATTTCCATTGAGGTTCTTGTACTAAAGACGATAATTATTAACAACTATCTCGTGCAAATATAAGGCAAATATGCTGAAGCAACAATTAGATAATTTTACAACATTCAAGAAATCTTCATTGTGTAAACGTTTCTCCAGCCAAGTGGTTTTGTCAGTCCGGCACAGAGATGACTGGTGAAAGATGAGAAGGAACTTGAGGTAATCAGTCCCTCAGCCTTGAGTCGATGTGTTTTAGTTGCTGGAGAAGACAGGCTCCTATCAGACTGTAAGTCAAACTTCGGGTCTGGTACCATACGAGTTCCTAACAGTCAAGGAGGCAGATAGTACTGTCAAGTCTGCATATACCTGTTGTGGAGACTTGGTAAGTAAGTAAGTAAGTAAGTAAGTAAGTAAGTAAGTAAGTAAGTAAGAAGTAAGTAAGTGGTGTATTTATGTTGTGAAGGCTTAACAGGGTCTTGATTCTGTGAAGATTTAGCACTGTCATGTTGTTGTGGAGGTTTAACAGTGTCTTGATGTTGTGAAAACTTAACAGTGTCTTGAGTATGTGGAGACTTGACAGTGTCTTGATGTTGTGAAAACTTAACAGTGCCTTGATGTTGTGGAGACTTAACAGTGTCTTGATGTTGCAGAGACTTAACAGTGTCTTGATGTTGTGGAGACTTAACAGTGTCTTGATGTTGTGGAGACTTAACAGTGTCTTGATGTTGTGGAGACTTAACAGTGTTTTGATGTTGTGAAGACTTAACAGTGCCTTGATGTTGTGGAGACTTAACAGTGCCTTGATGTTGTGGAGACTTAACAGTTTACCTGGAGTTTACCTGGAGACAGTTAAGGGGGTCAACGCCCCCGCGGCCCGGTCTGTGACCAGGCCTCCTGGTGGATCAGAGCCTGATCAACCAGGCTGTTGCTGCTGGCTGTACGCAAACCAACGTACGAGCCACAGCCCGGCTGGTCAGGAACCGACTTTAGGTGCTTGTCCAGTGCCAGCTTGAAGACTGCCAGGGGTCTGTTGGTAATCCCCCTTATGTATGCTGGGAGGCAGTTGAACAGTCTCGGGCCCCTGACACCTATTGTATGGTCTCTTAACGTGCTAGTGACACCCCTGCTTTTCATTGGGGGGATGTTGCATCGTCTGCCAAGTCTTTTGCTTTCGTAGTGAGTGATTTTCGTGTGCAAGTTCGGTACTAGTCCCTCTAGGATTTTCCAGGTGTATATAATCATGTATTTCTCCCGCCTGCGTTCCAGGGAATACAGGTTTAGGAACCTCAAGCGCTCCCAGTAATTGAGGTGTTTTATCTCCGTTATGCGCGCAGTGAAGGTTCTCTGTACATTTTCTAGGTCAGCAATTTCACCTGCCTTGAAAGGTGCTGTTAGTGTGCAGCAATATTCCAGCCTAGATAGAACAAGTGACCTGAAGAGTGTCATTATGGGCTTGGCCTCCCTAGTTTTGAAGGTTCTCATTATCCATCCTGTCATTTTTCTAGCAGATGCGATTGATACAATGTTATGGTCCTTGAAGGTGAGATCCTCCGACATGATCACTCCCAGGTCTTTGACGTTGGTGTTTCGCTCTATTTTGTGGCCAGAATTTGTTTTGTACTCTGATGAAGATTTAATTTCCTCGTGTTTACCATATCTGAGTAATTAAAATTTCTCATCGTTGAACTTCATATTGTTTTCTGCAGCCCACTGAAAGATTTGGTTGATGTCCGCCTGGAGCCTTGCAGTGTCTGCAATGGAAGACACTGTCATGCAGATTCGGGTGTCATCTGCAAAGGAAGACACGGTGCTGTGGCTGACATCCTTGTCTATGTCGGATATGAGGATGAGGAACAAGATGGGAGCGAGTACTGTGCCTTGTGGAACAGAGCTTTTCACCGTAGCTGCCTCGGACTTTACTCTGTTGACGAATACTCTCTGTGTTCTGTTAGTGAGGAAATTATAGATCCATCAACCGACTTTTCCTGTTATTCCTTTAGCACGCATTTTGTGCACTATTACGCCATGGTCACACTTGTCGAAGGCTTTTGCAAAGTCTGTATATATTACATCTGCATTCTTTTTGTCTTCTAGTGCATTTAGGACCTTGTCGTAGTGATCCAATAGTTGAGACAGACATAAGCGACCTGTTCTAAACCCATGTTGCCCTGGGTTGCGTAACTGATGGGTTTCTAGATGGGTGGTTATCTTGCTTCTTAGGACCCTTTCAAAGATTTTTATGATATGGGATGTTAGTGCTATCGGTCTGTAGTTCTTTGCTGTTGCTTTACTGCCCCCTTTGTGGAGTGGGGCTATGTCTGTTGTTTTTAGTAACTGTGGGACGACCCCCGTGTCCATGCTCCCTCTCCATAGGATGGAAAAGGCTCGTGATAGGGGCTTCTTGCAGTTCTTGATGAACACGGAGTTCCATGAGTCTGGCCCTGAGGCAGAGTGCATGGGCATGTCATTTATCGCCTGTTCGAAGCCATTTGGCGTCAGGATAACATCGGATAGGCT